AACGCAGAATTCGAGTCTCAGATTTACCTCATAGATGAGAATAGAACAGTGGTTAGTATATGCTAGCAAGGGAAGGCGAACAGAGCAGCTGAAGGATGCATGGTGGGTACCAAAACATAGTGAATAAGAAGAAAAAATTCCTATGTGCCCTGTCACTATAGGGCGATTACCATTTACAATAATGTGTTATATATCTCAAAATAACCATAAGGAGCTCAAAGTTTCCAGAACAATAGAATGTTAAATATTTTGTTCTCATCATTTCACATGTATCAAATCATCACACTCATGGGTGTAGAGCCATCCACTGGAGCATGGGAGGCCCAACTGGAATCAGAAGTTCTCGAGGGGGAGGGTAGAAAATTGGGAAGGAGTGTGGAGAGGTCATGGGGAAAATGCAGAGAGGGAGGAAGTTGGACATGACCAAGGCACTTGTATATATGCATTAAATTCTCAAAGAATACATTTTGAAATGATAAATAACAAGATTTTCTAATCTTATTGCATATTTCTGGCTATCCTGAAGCTCATTATGCAATCCAGTTTGGCCTCAAACTCACACACATACACCTACCTCTGCTTCACAAGGGCTGGGATTAAAGGCACAGTTCCTTCACAACCAGCTTAATAAGTAATATGTTTTAAGAGAGCTTTGGGACATGAGTAGATTTTTTTTAATTATTCTTTTTATTTAGTTTTATTCAGTTGCCATTAGAAGCCATCTCATTTGGAGAAATCATTGATTATGCTATCAAGCAGGTAGCCCTTTATGACCCAGTCTTGTGTGCTTCCATCAAGGTCTGTTGACACTGACAGCGACAGGTGTTATTATGAATGCCTCCACAGTGACACCACTTGACACATGGCTGATCCTGATTCAGATGTGCTTTCTGCATGAAGCATGTTGGTTTCAGAGTATGGGAAAAAGAATGTAAAATGTCTCTGTTGTATTTTTATATTTATTACTTGTTATGGGGTTACTATTTGAATGTAGTAAAGTAATAAAGTATATTAAAACTCAAAAAATTCATCGCAGTGGGTCACACACACAAAAGACGTGAAAATGAAAGGTAACTCTTAAGAAAAGGAAAGGTCAATAGGAGAAGAAGGGAGTAAGCGGGGAATGAGGATGAAAATGACTAAATTTGATTGTGAAGAGCACAAAACTGTCAAGTAAAAATGGAAGAATTATCACACCATAATCCATAAAAATACAGCAATTGGGAGTCAACTAAAATTAAACTTTTAGTCATTTTGAATTCTTAGCTGTTTGGAGTGGATTATACTTGTGTTTTCCAAGGTTTGGAATCCCATTTAGAAATTCTGTGGCCCTCAAACCTTTGGGACTGAGTAAGAGACTGAAACTGCATTTCTGGCTCCCACTCTGTAAAAAAACCAACGCAAAACAAACTAAACCTGTGACTTAAGACCCAAACCTTTGAGACTACTAAGGGAGAACACTTCCAGATAGAACACAGGCAATGACTTCCAGAAAGACCCCAGTAGACAAAGTAATTACAGAGAAAAATTAACAAATGTGATTGCAAGAAATGCAAAAGATTTTGCTGTAATAGGAAACAAGAGACTAAAGAGACAGCCTAACAAATGGAGGCGACTCACCCAGTGGGCGACCAAGATTCAGAATATATACAGAATTTTAAAAGTTGAACATCAAAAAGAAGAGATGATCTAATAAGTAAACGGGCAAAAGAACAAAACAGGCACTTTCAAATGGCCAAAAAATCCACATTTTAGCTGTCATGGATATGCAAACCAAAGCTGCGAGGAGATTCCATGTCACTCCAGTCAGAGCGGCTTCCAACAAGAGAGAAGGAAACAGACAGACAAAGTGGTAAGAATTTGGCAGGGTTGAAAATACTGATAATGCCGATGAGAATGTAAATAAGTTCAGCTACTACAGAAATCAGTGTGGAGATTCCTCAGAATATGGGAAATACAGCCTGCATATGATTCGGCTATCCCACTTCTGGTGTACACCCAGAAGAAACAAGTCAACTTACTCTAGCATTGCCTGTATACCTGCGCTTGTTGCATCACAACAGCCAAGTTATGGAACCAGCATAGGTGTTGGCTAGATAAGAAAATGTGGTATACATGCACAGTGGAATTTTTTTCAGTCATAAAGGAGAATAAAATATATGATTTTATTCTATAATCAATGACACTTAAATACCAAAGAGGAATGAAAACCATGATTTCTGAATTACAGAATTACAGACTTCTCTTTCCCTAAATGCCCCCACTGACTGCATGGTAACTTAGACTTCTCCTACAGACTGGTGAGGACATGGTAATGGACCAATGTGGTCCACAGAGCAGTGCTAAGAGCCACTTGTTCCCATGTATCCTGTCTAAGCAAAATCACTCTTTTATGCCGGTGGCAACCATTCTCCAAAGAGGATGCTAGCACCATGGTGCTAGCTTCGAGCTGAGAAACTTGCCTTCTCAAACAGCTCCTGGCTTCTCTCTACTGTATCCTCTAAGGACAGAAACACCCAGGATCCTCCTTGGTTCACCTGAGTTCACAGTGTCCAAATGAAACAAGTGCCACAAGTTTCTGAAAGCCAAAGTCTAATCAGGATCATTTAGATCATTAATGCTCCCCCATAATTAAGTCAATTTCTGATTAGAATTGTCATTTCAACAGAGCTGGGTGGAGCAAGGTTCAACTATGGTATCTTAATAGCAACTGAGTTCCAATTATGAAAGAAGGGGGAAGCACTTTGTTCTTCATACACAAAGGGGCTGCTCTTGGCTCCAGGGTCTTCAGGGAAGATTTGAGTCAATCTCATAGGAGAACAGTTGAGCTGGCTGCACACTCCTTCTTACCCATAGCATCCAAGGGCAGGCTTGACTTGAAGTGAGAATGTGCTGTCCTGTCAGAAAATGGCAGAGAGAGCAGCAGCATGGAGTACATAGCACATTTACACTTTGTAACTATTCCTTCTTCCTGCTTCTATGAAATAGATATTAGGGTTCCTGTTCGGTAGACAAAGCAAGTGAGGATCAGAAAGCCTCAACACTCAGCAATCAACAGCTACTGTACTCCCCCATGGAGGGATTGCATGAGCTACTGTGACTTTGCCCGTGGTAACACAGGTGACAAGCAGTAAAGGAAAGACCCAAACCCAGTCACCAAACTCAAGTCCATTCCATTCTATGGCTGCCCCTCAGAGGCCTAAGTCACCATGCATCATCACAGGACACCTGAGACAAAGGCCATGATGGAAAGGACCCCAGGATCTATCTTGCTAGTTTTCACCTCTACAAGCAAAGTCATTATCGACCAAAATACCTGCTATCACTAGGAACAACTCAAAGTAACCTAGAGCCAGTTAGTTACAATGCTGTCCATGGTGTACCATCCAGAACTGGGAGCTGGAGACTCATAAACCCTCACAACCAATAGGCAGGATGGAAATACCCCAACAAAGTATTCATGGCACCAAAGTAGAAAAATTGTGGCAAAAAGAGAGTTGGATTCTAAGGTTTTGAGAATTTCCAAAGTAATGAAGACCAGGAATCAAACAGCAAAATTTGAAAGATGCTACTCCTTGAACTAATGTCTGAAATCTCCAGATTCCCTTTAGCTGCTTCCCAAGTCTGGAACCTATTCCCCCAGTATCATCCTCTGGTTAAAGCATGCAACCCCTATCAGACGTTTTGAAAACAATGTCTGCCATCCACTCTGGCTGACAGTCTCCAAGGCCAACCTGCTTACAGTTACATCAGAGAAGTGGCCAGTCATGCACTAAACGCCTATCCCTATCCCAAGAATTCCAAATCTTCAATCCTTTGCTTGCAATCACAAGGAGGTGGGGCCAAGAGTTACTAGTCACGTAACTAGGGCCAGACTCAGGAGGTGCTTGATCAATAGATGAGTCAGGGCACGCAGAAGAGTATAAAACCTCTGCAGCTCAGAAGCTCCTCACATCACCATCACCTCCTTCTCTCACTCAGCTCCCCTGGTGATTCGGGTAAGTGTGGGCTCTCCTAGCTCTCTGATCTCTCCAGCTGGCCTTGCTCAGCTTGCAGAGAGAGGTTAAGGGACAGGACCCCTCTCCCCCTTTAGAAGCTACTACATTCAAATTGATTAGGGATTTAGGAAAGCACTGAGCGAGCGGTAAGCTGCTTTTGGGCAGGTGATGTTTCCGGTCTTCTGGCCAGAACGCTAAACTCAGTCAAGAGAGGACAGCCTCCTACCTCTCTGGCACCCGAAGGGCTGAGGGCTAGAATACAGGAGGGCTCTGCAGTTGGTGCACAAGGCATCCTGCCATGAACTGGATGAACCTTGTGGACCTGCCAGGAGAGGCTGAGCCTACTCTCAGAGAGTGGGGAGGATAAGCCATAGAGTGATGTTGATGGGAGTTAGTGGAGGAGCTGTTCTGAGCCATAAACGACCTGTGAGATGCTGCACTGCAAGCTCCTACTAGCTGCAATTCTCCACTAAACTTAGACTTCTGCCTATCCTCAAAAAGATGCTTGCTCTCTTCTGGTCAGTTGTGCTGGTCCACATGGTTTAGTACCCTTGCCTCTTTTTGCAGGCATAACCACAGGAGAGCTTCCTTGTCTAATAATTGGCTCTTGGAGCATATCCTCCCTCAGTAGGGTAGATCAAGATTTTGAACTAAGGGCTTTTGCAGAAAATGAGTCCTACAGTTTGCTAATGTCCCAACAAATCTTTTCTTGTTGTGCTAGTGGAGATTTATTCTCTATTGGACTTAGAATCAGGACTGGGACTTGGGAGCACTCTAAGAGATGTAGTTAGTGTTCCTTCGTGGAATATAAGAAGCAGACAGGAATATCGCTGCTCTTCCCTCCAAGTCACACAGAAGTCAGGCAGAATTGAGGGAGAAGGGAGGCACCACTAAAGGGGCCTTTGTCCTAGCAAGAACTCTGCAGCCCCTGAATGGAGGGAGTCCCAGAGGCCTGATCCACATGATGCTGGGAGTCAGGAGGATGCTGCCATGGATGAGGCTGCTTTTTTTGCAGCATCCTCTTGCCGCTGATCTAATGATGCTCTTCTGCACTTCCTCCAGGTTTCCCCTTCTCCTTAAACAAGATGTCGCACCAGAAAAAGCAGCCCACTCCCTGTCCTCCCGTTGGTTGTGGAAAGACCTCCGGTGGAGGAGGCGGTGGTGGCGGCGGCAGTGGCGGCGGCGGCTGCGGCTACTATAGCGGAGGTAGCGGCGGCGGCTCTAGCTGCGGCGGTGGCTCATCTGGAGGTGGCTCCAGCTGCGGAGGCGGTGGCTCCTACGGAGGTGGTTCCAGCTGTGGCGGCGGAGGCGGCTCCGGTGGAGGAGTCAAGTACTCCGGAGGCGGCGGCTCCAGCTGTGGGGGCGGCTACTCCGGGGGCGGTGGCTCCAGCTGTGGCGGCGGCTACTCCGGGGGCGGCGGTGGCTCCAGCTGCGGTGGCGGCTCGTCCGGAGGCGGCTCTAGTTGTGGAGGCGGTGGCGGCTCTGGTGGGGGCGTGAAGTACTCCGGTGGCGGTGGCGGCTCCAGCTGCGGTGGCAGCTACTCAGGCGGGGGCGGCGGCTCCAGCTGCGGAGGCGGATCAGGAGGCGGCGGCTCCTACTGCGGAGGCTCTTCCGGAGGCGGCGGCGGTGGCTGCGGCGGCGGTTCTGGAGGGAGCAAGTACTCCGGCGGCGGCGGCTCCAGCTGCGGTGGCGGCGGCTACTCCGGCGGCGGCGGCTCTAGTTGTGGCGGCGGCTACTCCGGCGGTGGCGGATCCAGCTGCGGAGGCGGCGGCTACTCCGGCGGCGGCGGCAGCAGCTGCGGTGGCGGCGGAGGTGGCTCCTCCGGGTCGGCCCAACAGTATCAGAGCCAGAGCTACGGCGGCGGCTCCAGCTGCGGTGGTGGCTACTCGGGTGGTAGCGGCTCCAGCTGCGGAGGTGGCGGCGGCTCCAGCTGCGGAGGTGGCTCCTCCGGTGGCGGCTCCAGCTGCGGCGGCGGCGGCTATTCCGGTGGTGGCGGCGGCAGCTGCGGCGGCGGCTCCTCCGGTGGCGGCGGGGGCTACTACTCGTCGCAGCAGACCAGCCAGTCCTCCTGCGCCCCCCAGCAGAGCTACGGAGGGGGCTCTTCAGGCGGAGGTGGTAGCTGCGGAGGTGGATCCTCTGGCGGCAGCGGCGGCTGCTACTCCTCTGGCGGCGGCGGCTGCGGTGGAGGCTACTCCGGTGGCGGCGGCGGCTGCGGCGGCGGCTCCTCTGGTGGCAGCGGTGGCTGCGGCGGCGGCTCCTCCGGGGGTGGCGGCGGTGGCTGCGGAGGCGGCTACTCCGGGGGCGGCGGCGGCTCCAGCTGCGGCGGTGGCTCCTCTGGGGGCGGCTCTGGAGGTGGCAAGGGCGTCCCGGTCTGTCACCAGACCCAGCAGAAGCAGGCGCCTACCTGGCCCTGCAAGTAAGGTCCTCAGGTTGCCACGGAGACGAAGGATCTGGAGCTGTTCTCCATGGGCGCCGACGGGCTTAGCTTTCTCATGAGATTGCCTGAGGTTTCCAGATCCTTCACCCCTTAACACTCCCCCTGCCCCAGAAGAAGCCTTCGAGTCACTCAAACTGCATCTTGTTCTGCAGAGTTTCCATCTTGGTTTCTGAATGTCTACCTCCCAACTCCAGTGCCTCCTCAGTCAATAAATTTGCAATTCATGAGAATCTCTTGAGTCTCCACTGGTCTTTGTAGCCTGGAAATTCACTCACTCCATGCTGTTGTTGCGTCTTCCATTCATTCATTCACACTTACATTCGTTCAGCAAGTGTTCTATCCAAAGGTAAAGGGAATAGGTAGTAGGGAGGACTGGCAAGGAATGACCAAGGAGGTGAACCAGCTTGTCCTCCAAACATAAGGGAAAGCCTTCCGGACAGCCTCCATATCCCCGTGTCGTTGGGCAGTCACCAGGGGTATGCCAGGTCTTCTTAAGGCAGCCTACCGGGCAATTTCTCACAGCGCAGAACGTTACTCTTCAAGTTCGGGAAGCAGGGTATCTGTGCCCTGCAACACTAGCATGCAAGGCCTACAGAAGAAAGAGAGGTAATACCTCTTTGAAACCGTTCTCTCCTGCCGCTTTGGCTCTCTGCCCCTTCCCAGTTCTTTTCGCTCAAGAGAATCCTTTGCTCAGATATTAGCTAACTAACTACCAGAGGTCCAAATCCATTGACGTGCTCTGACCAGCGAAGGACTTGACCCCTGCACAAGAAGACCCCTGCCCAGGTAATCTTCCTGCTGACTGGAGCTGCTTTCCTTCTCCATGAGTCCTTCCTCATGACCCATGGTAGAGCCTTGAGACATACATACATACATACATAAAATAAAAATAACTGCTATGTCTTTGGTGAATATTGATACCCAAGCATGAGGAAGCCTGGTTGTGTTATTGTTAACAAAATATGACATCAGATACTCAAGAGCCTCTACAGCGTGTGAGACCCTCTATTGGACATCTATAGGGACAGAAGGCAGCCCTCTCGGAGGGTTGACGGGGTAGCATTCATTCAACTTGGAAGGCATATCATAAATGTGTGAGATGCTCAACATCAGTACCACAGGTACCAGAAGTACCTTCAATACATCCAGGTCACTGGAAACACAGGAAACTTCCTAATTTTCAAGGACATAGCTGGAGTTGCTCCAAGGGATGTGTGAGCTACGGAGCAGACAGTTGAGATGTAGACAGTCTCCTGGCCAGTTCCTGCTTTATAGTCAGATATTATCAGCTTTAGGCAAATGTGGACTTACTGACTTACTCAAATTAATTGTGCTGCATTAAAAAGCCAATATACCTTTCCTGTGTTTAGTTAATGATAGAAGTAAGAAGACTTCACTTCTGTGACTCTCCGATTTGGAGTCATCACTGCCTTCATCATTTTGCATCAGAGACGTAGAGAGCGAAAAAAGCAGCACCTCAGTGACATGGTAGTCTAACCACCGTATTTTTGTTAACTAAATTTATTCTTTAATGTGGTTATACGTGCACATAACACATTCTGATTACTCACACCCCTACCCTTTCCTAGCTCCCTCCCAACCCCAACCAGTCCCCACATTCCCTACAAATCTCTTTCCTACATTCTTGTCATTTATTTGTTTGCTTGTTTGTTTGTTTGTTTTGTGGTCCACTGACCAGGGCCATCTGTATGATCATGGATTTTTGAAGTGTCCATTGGATGCTGATGGGACCACGATTGGGTGCCCAACTGAAATGCATGACTCCCCCACACAGAACACACAAAATCTATCAGTAAACAATAGTTCAATGGGAATGGTGAGTCTCCAAGAGCCCCTACTCCATCGGTGGCTAACTATTGACAGGAGCTGTCCTAGTTCAGGTAACCATAGCAGCTGCTCATTCTTGATTCCCCTAGGGACCGTGACTTCCCTATCTTTGGTTTGTTTTTTTTTTCTTTTTTTCAAATGAGAGCCTTTGGGGTCCAGCCCCAGGGTCCTCTCAGGGTTCAGAAGGAAGCAGTAGCCAGCAAAGGAAATTAGGAATTCTAAGGGCGAATGGATCTCTCACTATGTGCTTTTCCGAATCAGTTTCTTTATTGCTCTGCCATTCTGCAAAGTTTCCAGTTGATATACATACACAATGAGCAATTCTCTGGCAATAGCAAGATTGCAAAGCTTGCATTTCTCAGGGTCACCAAACAAATAAGGGCTGCACAACGCAGCAACTGTCAGTTTGCTTTATGGCTCAAGGGAGGCATGCTTGTAAAAAGTGCAGGCAACTCTAAGAGGAGCAATGGCCAACTTAAAGAGCTTTAAATTCTCAGAAGGAAAAAAAGGATGGTCCGTGTGCTATATTCCTAAGTGTGATTAGTTAAACTAGAAGTTTGTAACCGATAAATATAGAAGAGGGAAGAAACACAGTGACCAGCGCTCTCTGCGGTCAGTGGAGCTGTGGCACCTGGGAACCTTTCAGGGTAGCCATGGTAACCGACATAAACTGCCAGTCTCATTAGTATTTTCACCAATGTTAACTGACTAAAGGGGACCTTTCAGATCTAAGAATTATGTCTATCACCCTAAGCAGTTAGAACAAAGAAAAATCTATGGTTATATGGTACAAAATCTGGGGTCTTACTGTTTCTAGTCGCCCGGGGTCCAAATGGCGGCATTTTCCCCATCTCCGGAGCTGGTTAAATGATCAATAGCTTCTTCCTGTTATCTCTCAGAGTTAAGATGCAAACGGTTAATTTCCTAGACTAAGACCTTGTATCAATACATCGAAGTGAGAGTGGGTGCGGATATTAATAGCCTGTTAAGGTTAGAGCGGGCTTAACTGAGGTTGCGCTTTCCCATATGGGCTGCAGGTGAATTTTTGACTCAGTCCTGATCTGTGAGGACTATGAATCAACAGACTCAGACGTGCCTGCTTTTCTCCTAATGCCCATCTGGGAAGGTCCCAAATGGGATCTACATGCAAGACTCTTCTTCTGGCCAAATGTCCTACCATAAAAGATAATTGCGGGGACCAGACTTCTAAGCTTCTCTCAGGGAATGGAGCAGAGATTTGACTGTGAGAACAAAGGTTTTTGGCTGTGTAACTAACTTTCTCACCAGGGTCGTGGGCAAAGGCACCCAATATACCTGTGTATGGAAAAAATTGTGCCCAATAATTGGTTAATGCACTGCTGAATCTTTTGGAATGAGTTCCACTATAGCGGGAGAGCGCTATGGCTTCACAGGGATTTACAGCAAGAACAGCACTATTCAAAAGGCAGAATTCCCAGTGTCTGAGTCTGTCTCCATCAGAATGCGTGTTTCTGGTGGGCTGACCTTCTGATTTGTCAGCTGAAATCTCACTGCATAATCCTGCAGACCGCACCATTTTTGTTTTTGTTTGTTTTTGTTTTGTTTTGTTTCCTTTTCTTTTCTTTTGTTTGGCACAAGAGGAATTGTTTTTTAACCAGGTTATGGTACTAAGCATGAATTCCTTCCTGTGGATCAGACCTCCGATTCAGAGAACAGTCAGTTACCCAATAACAGTTGTGCTCCTACTATTACATAAGTAGCACACCTTGTCTTCAATTGTCTTCATAAATTGTAATTTATGGGTACACTGGGTAAGATCATTGATACCTTTTCTCCCCTAGCGGCCTGCATAGCATCTTCCAGCACTATGAAAGCGAATCAGCAGAGAAATTTTCCCCCTCCTCGATTTCTTCATACTTTGTAACTGAGTAACATTGTCTTACAGCATCTTCCATATGGTTTGAGGGGTTCTGAGGCTTCCCTGATCCAACAACTCATAAGAAAGTATTCCATACCTGCTACTGGGAATTTTGTTTGGTAACCACTGATTCCAGAAGCATCAGCATCCAACCATGTAGTTACTATCCCTTAAAACATTTTTAAATGCATTTTTATAAGGTACTAGATTTTGATGTGGTTTTTTTCATACACCCTTCATTTTGGTTAACTGTCACCCCCAACTTCGCCTCCTCCCTCACACCATTGCCCTCCCCGATGAAACCCTCCAACTCCACGTGTTCCCCTCTCTACTTTCATCTTACCTGTACTATACTGTCTCAGCTCATCCAGGGCATCCTCTACCAATAGCACACATCTTCAATCCCAGTGCTTGAGGCAGAGGTAGGTGGATCTCTGTGAGTTCAAGGCTAGTCTGTTTACTTAATGGCTTCCAAGCCAGCCAGGACTACTTAGTGAGGTTTTATTTAAAAAAAAAAAAAAAAGCCCCTTTTCAGTTGCCTAGTTTTCACTTGAACATCAGGTTAAACACACAAAACTAAAGACTCAAAATTAGGATCCACATATAAGTAAGAACGGATATTTCTCTTCGTGGACCTTTGTTACGTCATCTAGTATAATTTCACCCATTTTCATCAGTTTGCTTAAAATTTTCATAATTATATCACATTATCATTAACCATCCTTCAGTTGACGGACATCTAGCTGGATTTCATCCCTATCTATTGTGAACATAACGGCGATGAACTTGAGCGAGCAGGTATCTCTGTGTTAGGATATAGAGTCCTTCAGGCACATGCCCATGGGCGGTATTTCTCTCTGGGTCATGTGGAGTTCTATTTCTAGTGGTTTGTAGTAATCACCATACTATTTTTCAAAATGGCCGGACTCCTTCACACTCCCACCAGAAGAGAGTGTATAAGGGTTCTCCTTACACCACACACCCAAATCAGAATATATTGTCATTTGTTTTCTTGACAATGGCCATTTAGCCTGGGGTGAGGTAGAATCTTAAAGTAGTTTAATTCACATTTCCCAGATAGCTAAGGATACTGAACACTTTTTAGTGTTCACTACTCATTTGAATTTTTTCCTTTTGAAAACTCCCAGTTTCATGATCCATTTTTAAACTGTATTGTTTTCTTGATGTTAACAGTTTGAGTTCTTTGAGTATTTTAGACACTAAAACTCTGCAGATGTATAGCTGGGGAAGATTTTCTCCCCTTCTGTGTGAGGCCTCTTCAGTTGGTTGGCAGCTTTCTTTGCTGTACCTCTTTACTTTCGTGAGACCCTACTTGTTGATTGTTGGTCATATTTCCTCTGCTGTAAGAATCATGTTATTAAAGGGAACCTCATGCCTGTATGTTGAAGTGTTTTCCTCTGGCAGTTTTGGAGTATGAAATTTTATGCTAAAGTTCTTGGTTCATTAGGAGTT